CAATCAAAAAATGGGCAGAAGACCTAAACAGACTTTTCTCTAAAGAAAACATCCAGATGCCCAACAGGCACATGAAAATACGCTCAGCATCACTAATTATTGGAGAAATGCAAGTCAGAACTACAATGAGGAATCACCTCCCACCAGTCAGAATGGCCATCATCAAAAAGTCTACAAATAATAAATGCTGGAGAGGGTGTGGAGAAAAGGGAATCCTACAGTGTTGGTGGAACTGTAAATTGGTGCAGCCACTGTGAAGAACAGTATGGAAGTTCCTTAAAAAACTAAAAATCGAGTTACCATATGATCCAGCAATCCCACTCCTGGACATGTATCCAGAAAAGATGAAAACTAATTCAAAAAGATACATGTGCTGCCCCAGTGTTCATAGCAGCACTGTTTGTAATAGCCAAGGCGTGGAAGCAACCTAAGTGTCCATCGACAGATGAATGGGTAAAGAAGATGTAGAGTGTGTGTGTGTGTGTGTGTGTGTGTGTGTGTACTCACACATACAATGAAATATTACTCAGCCATAAAAAAGAATGAAATAATGCCGTTTGCAGCAACATGGATAGATCCTAGAGATTATCATACTACATGAAGTGAGTTAGAGAAAGACATATATATGATATCACTTACATATGGAATCTTTTAAAATGATACAAATGAACTTATTTACAAAACAGAAACAGACTCACAGACATAGAAAACAAACTTCTGGTTATCAAAGGAGAAAGGGTAGGTGGATAAATTAGGAACTTGATATTAACAGATACACACTACTATATATAAAATAGATAAACAACAAGGTCCTACTGTATAGCACAGGGACCTATATTCAATACCTTGTAATAACCTATAATGGAAAAGAATAGGAAAAAGAATATATATGTGTATAACCAAATCACTTTGCTGTACATCAGAAACTAACACAACATTGTATGGGGCTTCCCTGGTGGCTCAGTGGTTAAGAACCTGCCTGCCAGTGCAGGGGACGCGGGTTCAAGTCCTGGTCCAGGAAGATCCCACATGCTGCGGAGCAACTGGGCCTGTGTGCCACAACTACTGAGCCTGTACTCTAGAGCCCGTAAGCCACAACTACTGAGCCTGTGTGCCACAACTACTGAAGCCCATGCTCTGCAACAACAGAAGCCACCACAATGAGAAGCTCACGCATTGCAATGAAGAGTAGCCCCTGCTCACCGCAACTAGAGAAAGCCGGCTCGCAGCAACGAAGACCCAATGCAGCCAAAATAAATATAAATAAATAAATTTAAGAAAAAAAGAAACTAACACAACATTATAAATCAACTATACTTCAATTTAAAAAAAAAGGAAAAATATGTTAGCAAGCTGAATCATAAAAGGATCATACACCATGATCCAGTGTGATATATTCCAAGGATGCAAGGGTGGTTCAACATCTGTAAGTCAACATGATACATTAACAAAAAGAAGGATTAAAAAACATATGATTGGGCTTCCCTGGTGGCACAGTGGTTGAGAGTCCGCCTGCTGATGCAGGGGACGCGGGTTCATGCCCCGGTCCGGGAAGATCCCACATGCCGCGGAGCAGCTGGGCCCGTGAGCCATGGCCGCTGAGCCTGCGTGTCTGGAGCCTGTGCTTCGCAACGGGAGAGGCCACAGCAGTGCGAGGCCCGCGTACCACAAAAGAAACAAAAAACATATGATCATCTCGATAGAGGCAGAAAAAGCATTTGACAAAATTCAACGCCCAGTTATAATTAAAAACTCTCAATAAAGTGGGTACAGGGACTTTCCTGGTGGTGCAGTGGTTAAGAATCTGCCTGCCGATGCAGGGGACATGGGTTTGATCCCTGGTCCGGGAAGATCCCACATGCTGCGGAGCAACAAGCCCCTGCGCCACAACTACTGAGCCTGTGCTCTAGAGCCCACAAGCCACAACTACTGAGCCCATGCACCACAACTGCAGAAGCCCACGCACCTGGAGCCCGTGCTCTGCAACAAGAGAAGCCACTGCAATGAGATGCCCGCGCACCGTAATGCAGAGTAGCCCCTGCTTGCTGCAACTAGAGAAAGCCCATACGCAGCAATGAAGACCCAAGGCAACCAAAAATAAAAAAAAAAATAAATTTATTTATTAAAAAAAAATAGAGTGGGTACAGAAGGAACGTTCCTCAACATAATATAGGCAGTATATGACAAACCCACAGCTAACATAATACTCAGTGGTGAAGAATTGAAAGCTGTCCTTCTTAGAACAGGAACAAGGCAATGATGTATACTCTTGCCATTCTTATTCAATATAGTACTGGAAATTCTAGCCAGAGCAATTAGGCAGGAAAAAGAAATAAAAGGCATTGGAACAGAAGAAGTATAACTGTCACTATTTGCAGATGACATGATTTTATATATAGAAAATCCTAAAGACTTCACCAAAAACCTATTAGAATCAGGGACTTCCCTGATGGCACAATGGTTAAGAATCCGCCTGCTAGTGCAGGGGACATGGGTTCGAGCCCTGGTCTGGGAGGATCCCACATGCCGTGGAACAACTAAGCCCATGCACCACAAGTACTGAGCCTGCACTGAAGAGCCTGCAAGCCACAACTACTGAGCCCGTGCGCCTAGAGCCCATGCTCCGCAACAAGAGAAGCCACTGCAATGAGAAGCCCGCGCACCGCAGCGAATAGTAGCCCCTGCTCACCATTACTAGAGAAAGCTTGCGTGTGGCAACGAAGACCCAGCACAGCCAAAACTAAACAAATAATTAATTTAAAAAATTGCTTTAAAAACCTATTAGAATCAATAAACAAATACAGTAAAATTTCAGAATATGAAATCAGTATACAGAAATTGGTTTCATTTCTGTATGTTAACAATGAGCTACCAGAAAAAGAAATTAAGAAAATAAAACAATCCCATTTACAATTGCAACAAAAAAGAATGAAATACCTGGAATAAATTTAACCAAGGAGGTGAAAGACCGGTACGTTGAAAACTATAAGACATTGTTGAAAGAAATTGAAGAAGACACAAATAAATGGAAAGATATTCCACGCTCATGGATTGAAAGAATTAACATCAGAATGTTCATATTACCTAAAGCAATCTGCAGATTCAATGCAATTCCAATCAAAATCTGAAGGACGTTTTTCACCAAAATAGAACAAAAATTCCAGAATTTGTATGGAACCACAAAAGACGCTGAATAGCCAAAGTAATCCTGAGAAAAAAGAACAAATCAGTAGGTATCACACACCCTGATATCGAATGATATTACAAAGCCATAGTAACCAAAACAGCATGGTATTGACAGAAAAACAAATACCTTGATCAGTGGAACAAAATTGAAAGCCCAGAGATAAGCCTATGCATTTATGGACAACTAATTTACAACAAAGGAGCAAAGAACATACAATGGAGGAAGGATAGTCTCTTCAGTAAATAAATGGTGGTGGGAAAAACAAGACAGCAACATACCAAAAAAACCCCAAACTAGGCCACTGTCTTACAACAGACACAAAAATTAACTCAAAATGGATTAAAGACTTGATGTAAGACCTGAAACTATAAAAATCCTAGAAGAAATCGTAGGCTGTAGGGTCTTTGACATTGGTCTTAGCATTACTTTTCTGGATATGTCACCTCAGGCAAGGGAAACAAAAGGAAAAATAAACAAATGGGACTACATCAAACTAAAAAGTTTCTGCACAGCAAAGGAAACCATCATAAAACAAAAAGACAGCCTACTGAATAGGAGAAGGTATTTGCAAATCAAATAACTGATAATGGAGTTAATATCCAAAATGTAAGAACTCATACAACTCAACAACAGCAAAACCAATAACCTGTTTAAAAAATGAGCAGAGGTGCTGAATAGACATTTTTCCAGAGAAGACATACAAATGGCCAACAGGCATGTGAAAAAATGTTGAACATCACTAATTATTAGAGAAATGCAGATCAAAACCACAGTGAGATATCACCTCACACCCATTAGAATGGCTGTTATCAAAAAGGCAAGAAATAACAAATATTGGAGAGGATGTGGAAAAAATGGAAACCTCATACACTGCTGGTGGGAGTGTAAATCCGTGCAGCCACTATGGAAAACAGTATGGAGATTCCTCAAAAAATTAAGAATAGAACTACCACATGTCCAGATATCCTACTTCTGAGTATTTATGCAAAGAATATGAAAATACTAATTTGAAAAGATATATGCACCCCTCTGTTCATTGCAGCATTATTTACAATAGCCAAGATAGGAAAACAACCTAAGGTGCCCATCGATGGATGAAGGGATAAAGAAGGTGTGAGATATATATATATATATACACACACACACACACACACACACACACACACACACAGTGGAATACCATTCAGCCATTAAAAAAAATAGATGAAATCTTGCCATCTGTGACAACACAGATGGACCTTGAGGGTATTATGCTAAATGAAGTTAAGTCAGGTGAAGAAAGACTTACCTTATGTTTTCACTCATATGTGGAATATGTTTTAAAAATTAAAAATAAAATAACTAAACAAACCAAACCAAACACACACATGGATACTGAAGACCGAGTAGTGGTTACCAGCGTGGCAGGGTAGTGGAGGGAGTGTGAAATAGATGAATGGAGTCAACTGTATGGTGATGGATGGAAGCTTAAACTTTTGATCATGAGCATGCTCATGAGTGTGTATAATCATTAGTGTATACAGAAGTAGAAATATAATGTATTCATGAAACTTATATTATGAACCAATATTACTTTCAGTAAATTTTTTAAAAGTTCAGTATGTTATCCATAGCCTCATCTATATCAGTAGTAAAAAGTGTTGAATAAGAGTTTTTAAGATTTTAGCCCTAGACACCAGAAAAAAAATGTTTTAAAATAAACATGAGGAGACATTTGGAAAATAATTTTGTTGACAACTTTATTTTCAGATTTCTAGTTTGAGATGTAAGTTAACATTTTTATATGTCTGTCTCACTTTTTCTTTCTTCTCAGGGATCCATCTGTCTCTAAGTCTATAGAACGAATCTTTAAAATCTGGGAAGATAGAAATGTATACCCAGAAGAAATGATTATGGCATTAAGAGAAGCTTTGAGTAAGTATTTTTTCTCTCCTAAAAGAAAGATTGAGTCATTGTTCAGTCTTTAAAATTATATATATATATTTTATAGATTTGGTCCTTTTGCTTAATAATGAAAAATAAACTTTTGGATCTGGCCCTGTTTGTTTAAAATTAAATAATTGTAAAAATCGGTTTGCATTAAAATTTAAGTAGAATTGGTTTGGGGAGGGTTGAATTTCGTTTTTATTGACTAAAGAAAGTCAAGCATATTAAGTGATGTTGACCATCTAATTATTTTCCTGCATTTGCTTTACTTTAGTTGAGTGCTTTAAACTGTTCATCTTTTGTGTTTAATAATTACTGCCCTGTCCTCTTACTTATGGGACAATTTTTGGACAGGGTTTCAGTTTTCAGTAAGCTGTTGGATAGTAAGCATGTATTGGCATTCTTCGGTCTCTCTTTTGGTTTAGATTTGCAGTAAGTTGTGTACTGGTGTTATTTAAATTACTTAGTTCTTATGTATTAGATACATGTAATTAAGTCATTGAATAGCAGTAGGTGATATCTGATACCATGACCATAATTTGACTAGAAATTTGCTTTAAAAATAGCATCTTCTAAGAAGCTGTTAAATTCTTCATTTGAATGTGTTACCTGGTGTTTTTAAGCTTCTACCCTATTCTCAAAATTTGTTATTTCATTGATGTAAAATCATGTTTATTTATCAGCTTCTTAGATCTGGTGGGTGTTTTTATCTTTTTATAAAAATGAAAGAAAAGGAAAGAAAGAAACAACACACAGTCTCGGATTGCCTTTTTTCATGCTTCAACTTTGACACTGAAGTGGACAGACAGAACAGCTTCCCATAACGCCAGATTGCAAAAACTGAAATGTTTTCCAGGTACCACTTTCAAAACTCAGAAGCAGCTGAAAGAAAATCTGAACAAACAACCGAATAAGCAGTGGAAGAAATCACAAAGTAAGGAACAAAATCTCAACTAATATAAATTACCTCCTCTTTTTGGAGCAGAAGAAAATGTAGACCATTTGACATCGTACCTGGCATAAACCATGGGCAAGCCTGTGTTTTCCAGGCCTGGGAGGCTCCCAGTGACTTGCACTAAACAAGCCATCATGGAGTTACTTCTTTAAAAAAATAAAAATAGAACTACTTTTAAACAAAGGAAATGCAGAAAAAGGGTTTAAATGAGTGAAGATTCAAGAGTAGTTGGGGGATTGAAAGAAGAAAAAAATACATGATAGTGCCCAGGCTAACTTTCAGGTTCAAAGATATGTGAAGTTAGAGGCAGCTGGCATTAAACAACAGAGCTGAAGAGGAGACTAGGCATTAAGAAGCATTTCTGTGGGAGCCATGAAATCCTTCAGATTTGGGGATATACTCTACCAGATTAGACATGGGCCTCAAATCCTGGCCAGAAGCTCATTCTCTAACAGGAGCTCCTGCTGTGTTTATCATGTTTACCCAGCATGAGATCAAGGGAGTGGAATACTGCATGTGATAGGCTGCTGTGGGCCAAACTGAGGAATATTGAGAAAGACTTGAAGGTGTGGAGGGAACAAGGTAAAAGACAGTGAGAATTGGGAGGTGAAACAAGACACTTGGGATGGTTTTGCTCCAGCAAGCATGTGATATTCATCATGATTAAGGGAATCCTCTCACATCCTTTTGGTCGTAAGTTGCATGCTTAGGAACAACAAGAGTCATCATTTCAGCCAAAGTTCAACCACAGTGGTATTGTACTTAGAACTTTCCCTGCCTATTTTTGCTATGAATTGAGTCAGCAGAAAAAGAAATCCAAAATTAAATACATAGGAATAGAGTTGATGCTTCTAAGTAAATTTTCTTCAGCCAGTGCGCAGGATTAATTGGATGTCCTGCTCCTGAACACTCTTAATTTGAGGTGTTAAGATCCTCTTACACTCAGACTAGGCAAAAAGGTACTTCATGTATCTCAGTATCTCCAAATCAATAATTCTAGGACTTCAGACTTACAGGGTATGTTGGAGGTAAGTAGGTTAGACCTATCTAAATAGTGTATTTTTATATTTACCATGCTTGGGAGTGTTCAAATTTCATATTCCACTATTTATTCTAGGAATTATACCATGATTTAAATGTGCATGTTCGACATATATTCAAAGAGTACACCCTTAACTATAAAACTGGAAATTTTCCTGAATATTAGTCAACATTTTGTGTCTATATTCTTAAACGACCTTTTGTTTAATTCCAACAGCATCCACGAATCCAAAAGCTGCTCTCAAGTCTAAGATAGTTGCTGAATTTCGAGTAAGTTACAGAATATGTTCAACATGCCAAAATATTATTCACCCCTTTTGTGTTAGTTTTCTGTATAGTCCATCCTGAAAGATTTATTTTTATTCAATTATACATCAGTTATATTTTAAACATGTTCAAACTGTCTAAAACTTAAGAGTTTTATCTGTACCTCTAAAGGACAAAGTAAGCTTCTTCTGAAATATCTATTACCAGCTGAATTTTGTGTTGAATCCCAACAAGGGATTCATCTTTCTGTAAAACTGTATTAAATTAAAATTTCCTTAAAGTTAACATAATAAGACCGTTTACCTAGTTAAAATTTAAGGAAGATATAAGTGGACCTTTGTCTGTTTCAGTCTTAACTCTGTATCCATAAATTAGCTTTGAATAAATAAGGAAAAGGTTCTTTTAAAGTATGTAACTGAAAATATGGTTTTGACATGAGAATTGATGTTGATATTTGATATCCCTGATTATGAGGAAATATGAAGGGTTTTTGCCTCTCGTGGCTTTGTTAGGTTTTATTCATGTTTTACTTCAGTGTGGAAAGGTAGAATAAGTGGATGATTTCATAAATTAAATATGACCCTGGTCTGTGTTCAGTCTCAGGCCCTCATTGAAGAGCTGTTGCTGTACAAGCGCTCAGAAGATCAGATAGAATTGAAAGAAAAACAGCTGTCAACTATGAGGGTGGATGTGTGCAGCACAGAAACTCTCAAATGCTTAAAAGGTAATACCTACATCCCTTTAAATAGAATAAGTCGGATTTTCTTTCTAGATATGTCATCTTCAAGTGATCAAACTGACTTCTTGCATAAAGACAACCTCATGTTATAGAGAATAGTTGTGGTGCCTCTTTCCCAGGTGGTGATTTCATGCATGTCAATTTCATAAGTAAATTCCTGGCCTTAAAATTGTACACCTTAAACAGTGTTATATGCCAGTTATATCTCAATAAAGCTGGAGAAGAAGTAAATTAAAAAATTTTTTTTTAAATAAGTAAATTCTGTCCTTTGCCCCACTTCTAGTCCTTTCTTGATGTATTGGATTTTGATAGGGGTATTTCACATGAGTGATTAACTGGTTTGGCTGTGCTCTTCAATAAGGTCACTGTAGGGAATTCCCTGGTGGTCCAGTGGTTAGGATGTGGCACTTTCACTGCTCTGGGCCTGGGTTCGATCCCTGGTCAGGGAACTAAGATCCTGCAAACCACATGGTGCAGCCAAAAAAATAATAATAAATAAATAAGGTCACTGTAATGCCTCATAAAATCTAGTGACTTGCTCTCTTTTCCTTACATTGTAGATTATAAATAATAATCATATTAATTTATTAGAATGTAAATCTCATGAAAGTAGAAATTATCCTTATTTGTTCTTGCTGTATCCTAGTGCCTAGAGCAATACCTGGCACATAATAGGCACTCGATGAATATTTTTGAAATAATGAGTAAATGACTACCAGCTCTTTGTTTTGGCACCTATTTTATTCTTGTACCATGCTTTAAATTTAACATATGTTATCTAATTTAGTCCTCACAACAACTCAGAAGCATGTTAAAAACCTCTGTTTTGGACATGAGAAATCTGAGGCTTCATAAGGAGATAAGAAGCTTGCCCAAGTTACACAGCTGATAAAATGCAAAGCCTAAATTTATATCTGCACCTAAGGCCATATTCCAACATCACTGGGAAAAAAGTACTTAGGAGAGTAAGAAGCAGTTTACAATGTCATACAGTGTTACTATTGTTAAAAAAGAATTCATGGTACTCTTCTAATATCAAATTACCAGAGATCTTCAGATAGGAAAGAATAATCTTTAAGCCTGATACACAAAGAAGTCACTTTATCTTTACTTTTCTTTTTTTTTCTTTCTTTTTTTTTTTTTGTGGTACGCGGGCCTCTCACTGTTGTGGCCTCTCCCGTTGCGGAGCACAGGCTCCGGACGCGCAGGCCTAGCGGCCATGGCTCACGGGGCTATCCGCTCTGCGGCATGTGGGATCTTCCCGGACCTGGGCACGAACCCGTGTCCCCTGCATCGGCAGGCGGACTCTCAACCACTGTGCCACCAGGGAAGCCCTATCTTTACTTTTCTGAACCTCTGTTTTCTCATCTAAGAGATATATCTTATTATAGTCTACAGTATAAAAGTTAATGGTATTAAGTATACAGAATTGAGCCTTGTTCCATTATTCCTGAGTAGCAGTGTGACATCAAATCTGTGAATAAAACCAGTCAACAAACTTTCATTTAGTTGAACTTTCTTTCTTTACCTTAATTACAAGTGCCTTCATCATGCACTCTTGCTTCACTACAGCAGGATCACACAAACCATTTAAATAATCTGTTTTGTGATTTAGAGAAACTTCTTTAAGGTGTAACTATGAGACTAAGAATATTACAGAATACTTCCTCTTGTTATTTTAGATAAGACAGGTGGGAAGAAATTCTCCAAAGAATTTGAAGAGGCAAGTGCCAAGCTGGAGGAATTTGTGAATGGACTAGATAAGCAGGTGAAAAATGGGCCCTCACTAACAGAAGCACTTGAAAATGCTGGAATTTTCTATGAAGCACAGTACAAAGAAGTAAAAGTGGTGGCCAATGTAAGTAATGATAAAGCTGTCTTACATCAATTGCTTACCATATATCTGTGACTGTTTATATGTTATCTAACTCTATTAGGATAAGCATTATTATCTCTAGTTCACAGATGAAGAAGTTACTTTTTTTTTTAATAAATTTATTTATTTTTTGGCTGTGTTGGGTCTTCGTTGCTGTGCGCGGACTTTCTCTAGTTGCGGCTAGCGGGGGCTACTCTTCATTGCAGCGCGGGGGCTTCTCATTGCAGTAGCTTCTCTTTTTGCAGAGCACGGGCTCTAGACGTGTGGGCTTCAGTAGTTGCAGCACATAGGCTCAGTAGTTGTGGCTCGCGGGCTCTAGAGCGCAGGCTCAGTAGTTGTGGCACACGGGCTTAGTTGCTTCGCAGCATATGGGATCTTCCCAGGCCAGGGCTTGAACCCATGTCTCCTGCATTGGCAGGCGGATTCTTAACCACTGCGCCACCAGGGAAGTCCCAAAGAAGTTACTTTTGAAGAGGGTTAGTAACCTTGTACAAGGTAGTATTATAGCTAGCAAGTGAAGGTGTCTGAATTAAGACCTAGGTCTTTTTGATGCTAAAGCTCATGAAGACCCTGACCATTAAGCTTTGCTAAAGCCTTATATCTTAGTGTTTCAGTGGGAGTGTGCCAAGTTACTGTTACGGGATATAAAATTGGGCAGAAGTATGTATATATATTTTTTTAAACCCAGGATACTAGATGGAAACATTGTTTCTGAATTTCATCAACTCAATTAAGGAACCTCTTTCTCCCCACCTCAACTGGAAGAGGGGTTGATAATTAGACATTTGTCTAATGGCCCCTGAAAGAAACTGCTTTGTACTTTAATTTTTTTTTAGTTTTAATCGCTATATATGGTTATAAAAGTATATAATACTTTAAGTACTTTTTTTTTTGGCTGCACCACCCAGTTTGTGGGATCTTGGCTACACCACCCAGTTTGTGGGTTAACTCTCCAACCAGGGATTGAACCTGCGCCCTCGGCAGTGAAAGCACAGAGTCCTAACCTTTGGACCTCTAGGGAATTCCCAGTATATAGTACTTTTTTTCTTTTTAATAAATTTATTTATTTATTGGCTGTGTTGGGTCTTCGTTGCTGCACGTGGGCTTTCTCTAGTTGAGGCAAGTGGGGGCTACTCTTCGTTGCAGTGTGTGGGCTTTTCACTGTGGTGGCTTCTCATGCAGCATGGGCTCTGGGTGCACGGGCTTCAGTAGTTGTGGCGCACAGGCTTAGTTGCTCTGCGGCATGTGGGATCTTCCGGGACCAGGGCTCGAACCTGTGTCCCCTGCATTGGCAGGTGGATTCTTAACCACTGCACCACCAGGGAAATCCCCAAGGTATTCACACTTTTAATTTCTGATTTCAACCCCACTACTCACTCCACTTTTTTATACTCATCATTTCCTGGATCAAAACTTCTCAGGGATTCTGCAAGACAGATCAGCTCCTTTCCCAGGTATAACTCCCTTTCTGCATACTCCTAACCTCATTTTTCTCTACCCTGCCTCATTACTTCTTACTGTTACAAAACCTTTTCCTTGTTACTGGTTTATACCTTTTGTGTTCCTTTACTATTCATTTTGTAGGAGTCCCAGGAGGCAGACACACTGAACAGGAGTGATTGGTTTACCATTTTTACTCAAAAGACCATTTTATAATTTTTGAGAAGTGAACCATCGTTACTTATTTATGAAATTATATAAAATCATTTAGTCTGCTTTGGAGGATCCTTAGCAAATGGCTAGGAGAAGTTTGTTCAGCAAGCATTCATTGAGCACACATAATTGCAATTCTGTATAATAAATGCTATAATGAAGGTAACTGTAGGGTGCTAAGAGAACAGATTGAATAGGTGCTTTAGCTAATTTGGGAGTGGGAATGGAGGATATGGAGAAAATTTTTCCCGAAGGAGCTAAACTCTGAAGTTGCAGTAATTAGCTAAATGAAAGACCATATTCTCTGAAGAGCATTTTCAAAGCATGGGAATGAAAGAGAGCATGGCAAAATTGGTGGACCTGAAAGTAGTTTCTTATAGCTAGACATTTATGAGGAAGTGATAAATAAAACTGGAGAGGGAGTCAAGAACATGGTCCTGAAAGGCCTATATTTATTCTAAGGTCTTTGAATTTTACCTTGAAGGCAATGGAAGGCAGTTGTAGGATTTTAATTTTGCCGATGATGTGATCAAGTCTGCATTTTGGAATCAAGATAACAGAATGGAGAATAGGAGACTATTAGAGGTAGGGAGACAAGTTAGTAGGTTATTGAAATAATCCAGGTTGACTTTTGTGGAAACAGTTAAACCTTAAAGCAATAGTCTCAAAAAGATTTTGACCACAGTCCATATGAAAGAAAGATTTTACATGGAAACTAAGAACCACACACAAGTGCACATATACAGCAAAAGTTTCACAAAATAAAACTTACTCTTGTTATATGCAGTACACTGGGAGATATTCTTTCTTCTATATTATTTCATTTCCTATACTTTCTTCTGATTTTTTAAGATGAATATTTAGATAATTGATTTTCAGCTTTTTAAAACTATGTATATTTAATACAGTAAACTTCCCTCTAAGCTGCATCTCACAAGTTTTTTGTTTGTTTTTGGCCGTGCCAGGTCTTAGTTGTGGCATGCGGGATCTTTGTTGTGGTATGCGGGATCTTTTAGTTGCGGCATGCACGATCTTTAGTTGTGGCATGCAAACTCTTAGTTGAGGCATGTGGGATCTAGTTCCCTGATCAGGGATCGAACCCGGGCCCCCTGCATTGGGAGCTCGGAGTCTAAGCCACTGGACCACCAGGGAAGTCCCACATCTCACAAGTTTTTATACTTAAATGTGTCTTTTACAAACAGCATATAGTTGGATCTTGGTTTTTTTATGCTTATTGTTTTTTAATCAAATCTGACACTCTTAACTTATTGCCTTAAATTAAATTATCTTAATTTAATATTACTATCTTAATATTGTTATAATAAAACCTTAAATTAATATTCTGTTACTTCATGTATAATGTAGGAACTTTAACAGTAGTAGGATTCCCTTCCCTCAGGTCTTTATGCTGTTGGTTGACTATTTTAGTTATGTATATTTTATGTAGTATAATTTATATTATTTTTCTTAAACAGTGAGTAGACTTTTAAAGAAATTAAGGGGGAAATAGTCTTTTATATTTACTATTTCTGGTGTTTTTCATTCCTTTTTGCAGATCCATGTTTCCCTCTGGGATCATTTTCCTTCAGCCTAAAATCTTTAACATTTCTTATAGTGCAGGACTGTTGGTGATGAATTTCTCAGTTTTTGTTTATCTTAAAATGTCTTTATTTTACCTTCATTTTTGAGAAGTGTTTTCACTGGATAAAGAATTATAAGTTGGCAGTTTTTTTCTTTTGTTACCTAAAAATGTTTCCCTACCTGTCGTCCCTTGAGAAGTCAGCTGTGCCTAGATTTCTTCTTTGTACTTATCCTGCTACAAAGGGATAAAAGGGGTTCACTGACCTTTTTGGATCTGTGGTTTGATATTGTTCATCAGTTTTAGAACCTATTCGACAATTATCTTTTAAAATATTCCTTCTTTTTCATTCTCTCTCTTTTCCTTCTGGGACTCCAGTTATACGTCCCATGTGTTCTTAGATTTCTGTCCTGTTCATTCTTTTTTCTCTCTGGACTGATTTTTGGCTACTTTATATTTACTTGTCTTCAAATATTCTTTGTTCTACTGAGCGCAGTCTGCTGTATTTTTCAGTTCTAGAATTTTCATTTCGTTCTTTCTTAGAGCTCCTTTTCTTTGTTGAGATTTCCCATCTATTCATCCGTTCTTCATCTTTTCCTAAAAATTCTTTAATGTAGTATTTGTAATCACTGTCTTAAAGACCTTATATGTTAATTCCAGTATCTGGGTCATTTCTAGGTATACTCCTATTGACTGTTTTTTCTGTGATTTGTGTGTGTGTGTATGTGTGTGTATACTTTAATCATACCTATATATACTATCTGTTTGCTTGTCTAAGAATTTACTTTATAGGAGACCTTCTGGGTGATACTTGTGGAAACTGTGAATTGTATCATTTTGCCTTTAAAAAGTGTTGAGGTTTTTTTCTGGCAATCAGTTAAATTATCAGTGGATCACTGTGATGTGAAGGCTTGGTTTTAGGTTTGTTTGGACATAACCCTTAGTCCTGGGACATGGTCCTTACTCCTAATCAATGGCCTTTGTGGGGTTTTAATAGGAAGTGAAGGTGTTTACTAAGCCTCTCTAAATTGACAGTGCATAAACTCTAAACTCTGCCTGGCACTGGGCAGGTGCTGAAATCACTGCTTAGGTCTTTAACTTCATAGCTTCCTTGGAGATAGCATCAAAGGAACTATTTCCACCATTCAGATTTATATGTTTATATGTTTTTATTGTTATATATTTTAATTATACACAAACATATTTTATAGTTGTTTTATGTAGTCAGTATTTATTTAGTGTTATTAGCCTTTTTATTGTACTGCATTTGATTTGCTATTAATATTTTCTCTTTATCTTTGGTTTTCAGTAGTTATACAGTGATCTGCCTGCACTGTGTAGTGTTCTTCGTATTCATCTGGTTTAGGGTTTGCAGAACTTTTTGAGTCCATGGTATATTAATTTACTAGGGCTGCTATAACAAAGTACCTGAGAGTGGGTAGCTCAAACTACATTAATTTATTGTCTCATACTGTAAGGCTCTAAGTCCAAAAGCAAGGTGTTATTAGCAGGGTTGATTCTTTCTGAGGGCTGTGAGGGAAGATTCTGTTCCTGGCTTCTCCTGTTTAACTTGTAGATGGCTGTTTCTTCCCTGTGTCTCTTCACATTGCCTTCCCTCTGTTTCCAAATTTTCACTTTTTTGTTAAGGATACCAGTCATATTGGATTAGGGCCCATCCTAATGACCTTGTTTTAACTTGATTACCTCTGTAAAAACTCTGTCTCCAAATAAGGTCACATTCTGAGGTATA